AAAAGTATAGGGAAACACCTGTCAATCATTAAATTCGTGTGTTTCATTCATACCCATTGCCACAGGTGTATAAAATCAAGCACCTAACTATGCAGTCAGGATTACAAATATTTGTGATAGAATGGGTTGTTCTGTAGAGCTTAGTGAATTCAAGTGTGGTACTGTCATAGCATGCCACCTTTGAAATAATCAGTTTGTGAAATTTCTTCTCTGTTAGATATTCCATGGTCAACTGCAATGGTATTATTGCAAAATGGAAGCGTTCCCCTCTATGAATCGCCACCTTATTGTGGTGGAGGGGTTTGTGTGCCTCCATGATCCAAGGTGCTATGTTGTTGGGTCTCCCAAGGGAATTTGGTCCTAGGTCAGACTAAGTGAAGTTCAAACAGACTCCCATGAGGGTTAATATATAAGGACCGTGTTTCCCAGCCCGGACTGGGGACTCCAGGGCCTCACCCTGGAGTCAGGGGTGGGAGCTTGAGGGCAAGCACCTGGTGGCCAGGCACAGCCCAAAAAAATAACATGAGTCTGCGCACCTGTGGGATGCGTGGGGGTCGGCTGCAATGTGGATTGGATGGCAGTAGAAGACATGGGCCTCTGTGGACTGATCATCAGCTACCAAAAATAGCTTTTGGCACATGGAATGTAACCTCTCTGGTGGGAAAGCAGCCTGAGCTGCCATGGGAGGTAGAGAGATACAGACTAAATATAGTTGGGCTCACCTCGACGCACAGCTCGGACTCTGGAAGCAAACTCCAGGAGAGGGGCTGGACTCTATTCCACTCTGGAGTTGCCCATGGTGAACGGCGCCAGGCAGGGGTGGGGCTACTTATACTTATATTCATTGGAATTTACCCCAGTAGATGAGAGGGTCATCTCCCTTCGACTTCATGTTGGGGGACGGACTTTGATGATTGTTTGTGCATACACACTGAACACCAGTTTGAAGTGTCTGGCCTACTTGGAGACCTTGAAGGGGGGGCTGGAAGGCACCCTGTCTGGGGACTCCATTATTCTGCTGGGAGACTTTAATGCTCATGTGGGACAGTGAAACCTGGGAAGGTGCGAATGGAAGGAATAGCCTGCCTGATTGTAATCCAAGCGGTGATCTGTTCTTGGACTTCTATGCTAATCATGCATTGTCCATAATGAACACCACGTTCGATAAGGGTGGAAAAGGGTGTTCATAAGTGCAACTGGCACCAGAGCATCCAGGGCCGTAGCTTGATGATCGATTTTGTAATTGTATAGTCGGATCTACATCCATATCTTTTGGACACACAGGTGAAGAGTGGTGCTGAGCTGTCAACTGATCACCACCTGGTGGCGAGTTGGATCCAGCGGCAGGGGAAGATGCCGGATAGACCTGGTTGACCCAGACGCATAGTGAGGATGTGCTGAGAGCATCTGGTGGAGGATCTTCAACTCGCACCTCCAGCAGAACTTCACTTCTCTCCCGAGGGAGTCAAGAGGACATGGAGACTGAATGGGCCATGTTCCGGGACTCCATTGCTGAGGTGGTGGTGTGGAACTGTGGCCGTAAAGTTGTTGGTATCAGTCGCGGCGGCAATCCCCAATCCCAGTGGTGCACATCTGCGGTAAAGAGAGCTGTCAGGCCGAAGAAGGAGGCCTTCAAGGCTTGGCTAGCTTGTGGGACTCCAAGATCAGCGGACAAGTACCAGCGGGCCAAATGGGAAGTGGCTGTAGCAGTTGCTTAAGCAAAATCTCGTGCGGGCTGTTGACCTCAACTGGGGATATAGTCTGGCGGTGGAAGGAATATTTCAAGGATATCTTAAGTGCCACTGATACACCTTCCTAGGAGGAAGTAGAGCTGGAAGACTCAGAGGGGATCTTGCCCAGCTCAGAGGCTGAGGTCACTGAAGCAGTCAATCAACTACTCGGTGGTAGGGCTCTGGGGGTGGATGAGGTTTGCCCTGAGTTCTTGATAGCTCTTGATGCTGTTGGGCTGTCTTACCTGACATGCCTCTTCAACATTACATGGACATCAGGGACAGTGACTTTGGATTGGCAGACTGGGCTGGTGGTGCCAATCTCTAAGAAAGGGGACCAGAGGATGTTTAGGGGATCACACTCCTCAGCCTCCCTGGGAAGGTCTATGCTGGGGTTCTGAAGAGGAGGGTCCATCTGTTGGTCAAACCTCAGATCCAGGAGGAACAATGTGGATTCCATCCTGGTCACAGTAATGTGGACGCTATACCATTCTGTTTTGATAAAAATGGAGGCTGAGCCAGATGACAAAACTCTCAATTTACCGGTTGATCTAGGTTCTTACCCTCACCTATAGTCATAAGCTCTAGGCAGTGACCAAAAGAATGCGATTACGGATATTAGCGGCCAATATGAGCTTCCTCCACATGGTGGCTGGGCTCAGCCTTAGGGATAGGGTGAAGAGCCTGTACATTCACAAGGGGCTCAAAACCACTGCTCCTCCACATCAAACAGAGTTAGTTGAGGTGGTTCAGGCATCTGTCTCAAACAGTTTCCTCTTGCATCTACAGTTACTCCTCTTGGATGTAGTCCATCCTTCATGGTGGTATGCCAACATTATCCTGGATACCATGGCTCTCGATATACCACAAAGACTTGCTGTCCTAGTCATAGATGTGCCAGCGATATGCGTACCAACAATTTTTCCTCTTTTGAACTCAGATACGTCTCCCATTATGTTGGGTCGATTGCAAAAGTTTACATAAAGTTGTGCTATTGCTGTGCTATTTCAACCTTCACACTCTGCTCTTACTGATGAAATGTGTGCCATCAATGAAGATTGGCCATATATATATGTGTGAAATCTCAAACCCTATATTAGCCAGTGTTTCAGATTCTTTGTCCAACCACTGTACTACATTATTATAAAGTAAATAGCCTTTGTATTTAATAGTCTGGTAGGTCTTAAGAGACACACTCTTATAAGACAAGTTTTTGCATTCCAGAAGTCTCTCCAGAATCAATCAAAAAGTAATTAAGGCAACAATAAATCTATTAGAAAAAGGAAAGTAGAACTCCTTGGTAACCAAGATATGAAAGAAAAACTAAGATTAAGGTCATGGATGAAACAAGCAGCTAGGTCATAACAGCAGGACGAATCCCCTCCCAGCAATGCATTAACTATGTTGTCTGTAGTGCCTATGAACTATACTGCCCAAGCAGAAAGGAACAGAGAACTTAAATTGACATGATCCACCTCCGTTATGACTCCATTTGGCCAGCAGAGGTTGCTGGTCATCCCATAATCACTTAATTGTTCTCAGTCTGATGCCTGATGTTGTTAGTCCTTTGTTAGTTGTGTATATGTGTACTTGCCCTCACTGTGTTCCCCACAGCTCAGACATTGTAGTTGCTAGAGATGGTATTCTGGATGTGTGCCTGTTTCCCCGAGTTGCTCTCTGAGCTGTAATTAGACCCCTCATGGTCCTTTGTTTTCCAGTTTGAGTGCCTAACCATTAAATAAAGCCCATGCTTTCCTCTCATCTGGCTGTATCTCACCTGGATTGTGTTCTTATTGTTTTACTACATATGATTCATAGAGAAGCCCTCACTGCTAAGAAGATGCCCCCAGAACTTGACCAAGTAATGAATGATACCGCTTATACAGTTAAATCCATGACAACAAGCACACAACTTTTCAAGATTCTCTATTAGGAGTAAAGGTTGATTAGTACTTCTACGTCATAGATAGTCACATACCCTGTGCTGTACTTGCACACTTGTACGTGCACCTCCCAAGATTCTTCTATGCAGAAATATAAATCACCCATTAGGAGGTGAGGTACTGAATCACCTTTGCAAGCTTTGGGATGAGGTGAAAACATTTTTATTTGAGAGGAACTCCCAACTAGCCAGTAAATTTTCAGAAGACAAGTGAATTGCACTGGTAGCCTACCTGGCTGATGTGTTCAAACAAGTTGAATGTGAGACTACAAGGGAGAAACACTTCTATGTTCAATCTTTTTGACTAAATTGAAGAAAACTGAAGGATTGGGAAACTACGAGAATGGCAAACATCTGGAAAATGAAAATTTTAAGGCTTTCCTGCACTGAAGGAGTTATCAAACGACAGCACATGCAGTTGGGCTCATGTGAACATGCTTCATCAGGCTCATGTTGGGAATACAACAGCTTCGAGAGTATTTTCAGCAGATTCTTCAGTTTCCTTCCACTGCCCAAACCATGCAACTTAAGTGAATTGGAGTGCCTATGTGTGAGTGTCCACCAATTGCGATGTATATTAAATTATATCATATATATTTGAAACGATTACTAGATAAATCATCAGTATATTATTTGATTATTGATATCGATAATGACAGCCCTATTCCAGACCAAGTGACTCTTTATGTTCAACTGGTTGACTGAAACTAAATTTTGGTCTGGATTTCTATTTTCTGGATTTGAAATGTCCACCTCTGCTCAAAACCAAATACAACACAGGGACCAGGACCAGGATCGCCACCTTTGGTTTGTGAAAGACTAGGATATTCTGAGACTTTTTTTTTTTTGGGGGGGGGGGGTGGTTATTAAATTATATTTGCAAATACACTATGTTAACAGTTTCAGGATTCCCTACTGCCTCTCCCATCTATATTTGCCCTGATGCAGTAGACTCCTTTGTCTCCTTCTGTCCCTTTCTATGTTAAAGACTATTTTTTTACTTTAACTAGTGAACATATAATGTTATATATAATATTAATCCTAATATGTCCAAAGGTATACTCCCTTTAGCAATGAAAACATTACTAGATGTATTATAATACATTATAAACAACAGGGCTCCAGACTAACTTTTCCAGTGGTAGTTCTGCTGCTATCAGCTTTCTCCGTTAGTCACACCCTTCTTTTTGGTGCAGCATGGTATTAATCAATGACCTTGCAAATGAATTGTTGTTCTAATTTGCATTCCTTGGTTTTTATTTTTATGAAAAATTGACAGCGAGTCAGGACTTGATATAATGTTCTTGCAAAATACTTTAATACCCTACCTCTCGTCATCACCTGTTTCTGTCTCGGGACCTCTCTTTGACTCTTCTTCTCCACCAGCCTCTTTCTTCTAATTTTAAAAAAATAATAATAAGCTACAGACCGCTTCCTTTTTTAACACTACAAAGATATCGCTTTGTTTTATCACCAGTGTGCGTATATGTCCTATTCCCGCGTGCAGGAACGCGGGAAAAACATGCTAATGATTATCTGGCACAGATGCGACCAAGTGAAATTAAAAATCGCACACTCTCAATAAAAGGTGGCATATGCCACATTTTTGGTACCAGTCTGGAGCCCTGAACAACATTTGAACAATGAAGTTGGGCAGCCTAACGCTGATATTTCCTACCTCTTCTTCAATGTGTATGTCTCATCCCGTTTTGCTGCCCGCAGAAGTCCCTGCTGTCTCAAAGAATGCTTTAAATTCCCAGCATGATAATTCGAAGTTTAATCTAAGTTGACGTTCTGCTTTGACTAAAAGTAGCAAAGGGAAGATGTTTGCGTTTGCTTAATACAAAACTCTGGTGCTTCTTTGTTCAGGCATGATTTTCCAGCACTGTTTTCCTTAATATTTTAGTTGGACTCCAGGCACAGGTGGCAGAGAATGGGCCTCCATGGGCGGGCCTTACCCTTTCAGAAAAGTTCAATTTTTGCCCAGTCTGAGTTGTACGTTGTAAATCGTTTTTTCCTTCGATTCTGGTAGCTCGTCCTATTTTGTTTTGTCGTCCTCCTCGTCCGTCTCTCTCCTCATTTCACAAAATCTACAATATAAATAAGTTTTATTTTTACCTCTTTTAAACTAACGTTTCCTCTGGTTAGCAACTAAAGTCACGGTGGGACCTTGGATGTGGATGCGCGCGACAGACCGACAGCCCAGGTTGTTGCTAAGCAATAAGGTAAGCTTTTGTGTTTCTGCTACCAATCAAGTATAGACACCGTTTTACCTGTTTTTAACCGACTGGTGAACTTGACGCTGCATATCATATACTGTTGGTTCCGTCTTTGTTTTTTAAGTGTATACCTAAAAAGTTTCTTTGAGTCTGTGCATGTCCGGCACCCTATTTTAAGAAAAAGCGGCTAATTCACGCAATACGAGAAATTGTTGTTATGCCTCATTGCGCGTGTATTTCGATTTTATGGTCAACTGTGTTGGTAGATTAATTCCTTCAAATGGCTCAGCCCCTTTTGCATGAACAAAATACAGCATTTTATGGTCCTGAGTACTCGTTATAAAATTTTGTTTATATGAAACTTAAACAAATTGAAAGAAACATAGAAGATTCTATATCCGGGCAACGTATATCTTCCACATTCCCTAGTAAAATGGCCGCTACACAGAAACTGTGACGTAATACTCATTCCTGTTCCAGGCAAAAATATTGTAGCCCACTAACAGTGCGGACCATGCTGGGACCGGTATAAATAGCCTCTTGTCTGTGTCATGGAAATAGCTGTACTGTGGATCCGATTGTTGCATTTGCCCTTACCTGTGTTGTACTCGGTCCTTGCTGGTTCCTCGTCGGTCTCTGTGTAAATCTCTAGTTATTCACCGTGTGTGCGACCTACTGTGTGCCATGAGACCTCCGTGTGTATCATGGTTGATCGTATTTTGGGGGGCGGGTTATCTCTCTATACCGATTAGCCATTTTTTGTATTACCCCAGCACATGCAAGCAATTTAGTTTAGTTTCATTTATTTGACATGTGTACAACAGATGTTCAACATTACAATGAAAGACAAGAGAAGAAACAAGTCTCTCACCACTGGAGAACAAGAAATAAAGTAAAATTAGAGTTATAAATAAGGTAATGTTAGTGTATGTTGTTGGAGTCACCACTCCGCCGGAGTCCGTTGATGAGAAGATTCACTGCACAGTCGAGGAGTGGTTGCAGGTCACCAGTTTATTCTGATTAATCAGGGAGCAACGATCTGACATACATTCAGCATGTACAGGAAGATGCTCGAACCATAGGTGTCGGCTCTAGGTCTTTATAGGCCTTTTGGGGTGTGGCCCCCCTTTTCTGTACTTTTCTACCTACGTGATTACCACAGATTTTGACTTTTGCTCTAGTTAGTGTGTGTGCCTGTCCCCAGAAAAGAGTAAAAATAAGTGTCAGCTACATGATCGGTTCCTGTTCTCTTACTGTCGGGAACAAGGCCCTCCTGACCTGCTCGGTTCCTGTTCTTTTACTGTCGGGAAGAATTATCAGTTGCATTCTTAAATGATTAACCCCTCAATCTATTTAGGACGAGGTCATCTTGACCTGTTTTCTTGTCTACCAGTTCCCGTTTTCAGTGTCTGCATTATATTAGACACTGTGTTATTAAACATTAGTAAGTTAATATTTGGATTATAGTGAAACTACCCTGATGGCCTGGTGGTAAAATCTGTTCTTGAGTCTGGTAGTCTGAGCAGCCATGCTTCATCACCTTCCAGCCAGTAACAGACTGAACAGCTGGCATGCTTGGGTGGCTGAGGTCTTTGATGATGCTGTCTGCCTTCTGCAGGCACCGTTGGAGGCTGGAGAATGGCAGGCGGACTGTGTTGTGCCGCCTCCACCACTCTCTGTGGTGATTTCCGGCTTTGGGCAGAGGAGCTCCCATACCATACTGCAGTGCAGCCCACCAGCAAGCTCTCAATTCTGCACCTGTAGAAGATTGAGATGATGCTGATGTTCATGCTGAACTTCTTCAGCCTTCTCAGGAAGTAAAACTGTTGGCAATCTTTCCTAACCACAGTGCCGGTGTGTGTTGCCCAGGAGAGGTCCTCTGTGATGTTCACACAGAGGAGCTTGAAGCTGCGGACACTTTTGACCTCAGTATCCCTGATGTAGATGGGCTGGTGTGTCCCCTCTTGCCGTCTCCTGTAGTCCACTATAATCTCCTTCATTTTTCTGGCATTGAGAGAGGTTGTTGTCCTGACACCAGCTGGTTAATGTCTTCACTACCTCTTTGTATTGTACTGTCTGTTATGAGGCCCAAGATGGCTGCATTATCAGCAAACTTGAAGATGATGTTGGAGCTGTGTTTAGGAGTACAGTCCAGAGTGAACGACAAGTATAAGAGAGGACTGAGCACACAGCTCTGTGGAGCGCCCGTGTTCAGGATCCACGAGGAGGAAGCGTGGCAGCCAAATCTCCCCACCTGGGGAAAATCCATCTTCAAACGGACGTCCCCAGTCTGAGTCAGTCGGTTTAAAGTTGGAAGTAGCTGATGATCGCAACTCCAAAAGTGTCGGGCATACCGAACGTGTGTTGTATGTTCAAAAAGAGTCTGTAATAAAAAGTCAACAAACTATTTTACCGGGATGACTTGCAGAGCAACTGGAAATATTCAAATTGTAGCGCAACAATTTTAATTGAATTTTTTTGTAATGTCTTAACAGAACCATATAGCTGTCTGTAGTTACACTGCAGAACATCTTAAATCAGCATAAAATAAGAGATACATCTGATAGGCCTCTATCAGGTTTTGGCAATCAATTTCAATCATGGACCATTTTTTCCCCAACCAGTGCTCAATAAGGGACCAGTACAGTTTTACAGACACATGAAATTGCAGCTCGATGTTTTAAATAAATAATACTCAAACAAAACTTAAGAATGACGTTTTTAAAATAAATCAAATTAAAATATATTATTTTTCCAGCTTCACGATCCCTAGCATGTTATAGACTATTTCTAACTTTTGGGAGATACCATCTTACATTTTGTAGTCCTTTTGCCTGCACCCCCTATTTGAAAGTAGCATTAGCAAATGGACTTTCCCAAAAAAAAAAACACTTAAAACACCCAAACAACTTGCACAAACATGCCCAAACATGTTCTAATTTAAATCGTGATAGAGTCAGGAGATGTTAACCAAACCCAAACTGATTTCTAAAAGCTTTACTTACACAGATAAACAAACCGGAATTGTAAGCAAACCTGCAGTCACAGACATACTAATGTGGGTTTCCTTTGGCATTACAAGCATTTTGGAGACTTCTGTCCCCAGTCAAACACATTATTTTGAAAGGTCAGACCCTTGGGTGGGAAGAATCGATATAAGTCATGTCTCAGTTGGTTTTGGCCACAGTGACATCACCAGCTTTTCCCACGGCACCTGCAGTTTACCCGGTCGTGAAAACAGCAAATGAAAAGTTTCGAAAAGTGCAATGCCTGTATTTAATTGTATTTTTTTCAGCTTAATTCCATTCCTGGCTTTGGATCCTAAGTTTTAAAAGTCATTCTCAGCAAACTGCCATTTGCCAACCTAAGGGCTATATGTTAACAAGAAATCAACATATTCACCCTTTCACATTTGCAAGGGTTAGAATTAGAATTTAGTGATCAGTAATCATTGTTGTCACACGACAGCACAGAATGCACAACAACGAAATGTGTCCTCTGTATTTAACCCATATGTGACATCGTGACATAGCAGGGGGCAGCTAATTCAGCACCCGGGGAGCAGTGCTTGGTTGTGGAACCTTGTTGGTCAGGGATTCAAACCAGCAATCTTTCATTTACAAGTGTGCTTCCCTAACCATTAGGCCACAACTGCCAACAAAAATGCCCAAGGCACCGCTGGGATTCGAACCCAGGATCTCCTGTTTACTAGACAGGCACTTTAACCAACTAAGCCACGGCACCTCTTAGGGGTAGAACATCTCTGGGAATGTGAAAATTTGCAAACGAAGCATGTCCTACACTAACAATTATTACGTATCACTATATTTATGTATTATAGGAATTTGTGTGATCTGAATCGTTTTCAATATCGTTTTTGGCTTGGGTTACTGTATTGTTTGAAAATACTATCAAAATGCCGTATACTGTAGTATAAATGCCTGGATGGTATGAAAAACTAGCGAAACTAAGTGTGACAGAAAACAACAGGAAACTTAAGATGCACCCCAGGGTGGTAAGAGTAAACGCAACATGAACTACATAAAGTAGAGGAGCAGTCTAAGTTGGCTCCCTTTCTTCCTGTTCCTGCAGTGCCTCTCTACCATCCAGCTACCATCCCAGTGAAGGGACGAATCAAAATCACCTATATTTCGGGTTGTCCCGGACAATTCGGGACGGTTGGCAACCCTACATCCGGCACCTCTTGCTGGGCCGGAGGATGTTCCTGTTGTGTCACCTGTTCCTCCGGTGCTGCCTGCTGCCCCAGAGGCTGTTCTTGCTGCACCCCCTGGCTCTGTGGCGCCACCTGTTGCCTTGGAGGACGTCCCCGCTGCGTTGCTTGACCCTTTAAAGGCCACTGGCTGCCCCGGTGGCTGTTCCCATAGCTCTGCCTGGCCTTCCTGTGTCATCTGGTGTAGGGATGCGCTGATCCAATATCCAGTATCGGTATCTGTCTGATCCTGGTGTAAATTACTAGATCAGATATCGGGGACAGATAAAAAAATGTAATCCGATCCATTAAAAATCATTGAAATGCCTAGCAAAACTTGCAACATGCCGTACGCAGATGGATGACTTCCTCACATAGGAGCAGTGTGCGTTATGTCATAAGATATTCCGTTGTGTGTGACACCTGCTGACAGTTCAAACTCCTTCAACTTCAAACTTCCTTCAAACTCAAGGAAGAAAAAGGCAAGACCGCCAAATCTAACTTGTGCGATACAAGTGTTTTACGGGGTGGTAGCAGCATTGAAAACGTTCAAGATTCAAAGCTTTTATTGTCATATGTACAGTAGAGAAGTGCATTTCTCTGTGCAATGAAATTCTTTCTTTGCTGTCCACACAAAATTCCAAGGTACAATAAAATAGAAAAAATAGTAAATAAATACTTTGAAGTGTAATATGCAGATGTTGAGAAATATTAACTGTGCATTTGTGCAAATTGAAGATGTGCAAAAGAGTGTAATGTGCAAAAATGTAAGTATGAGGTAGTATGGCATGGTATGGTAGTATGATGTCCATTATTCATACTCCTGTCAACTGTTAAGGAGTCTCATGGCAGTGGGGAAAAAGGAGTTGTTAAGTTGGGAGGTTCTAGATTTCACACTTCTGTACCTCCGTCCTGAGGGCAGAAGTGTGAATAGTCCATGTTAGGGGTATGTGGGGTCTTTGAGTATGGAGGCAGCTCTCCTCTGGACTCTGTGGTGGTAGATGCTCTGCAAAGAGGGCAGCAGAGTCCTGATGATCTTCTCCGCAGTCTTCATCACTCTCTGCAGGCGTTTACAGTCCATAGCAGTAGTGCTGCCGTACCATGCGGTGATGCAGCTGGTCAACACCACAAACCTGAATAAACACACAGAAATACCATGGAAAGGAGTACACCGAATTTATTCACGTCACGAGTGCCCAGAAAAAAAAGTTTCACATCAACACACACTGCTGGAAGCCATTCAGAAGCTTGAGAAACTCTCTCCAGAAAGCAACAAAGCTAAGCTGATACCAGAGAAAAAACTTGTCAAATTTGTTGACTGTTGTTCAGGGTCAGGCAGCTACTGCTATGTCTCATCTTAGAGGACAACTCAAAGCAAATATTTTAGGTAATGTCTATTCATCCGTTGATTCTGGAATTACAATCATACTAATGTTAAGTTTTATACAGATGTTTCATAAAATTCAACAGCAGAGGTTAAATGTGAGAAAAATAGCTTGCAATGACAGCCGTATTAATACCAGTTCTGAGTGCTAAAAGAAACCATGTTCCCAATACTTTGCACTTCTTTCCACTGTATAGTATATAAGTATATAAGGGTGTATAAGGGTATATAAGGGTTCTACAACTTTTGTTTTTTGAAAGTTTTTAAATACACACAGTATTTCATGCCGATATTGCAGTTCCTTTGTTTTTCAAAACCAAAGTTGCACTTTGAATTTGATTTTGAATGTTTCTTTAGATACTCAGCTTTAAAGTTTTGCATAATGTTGTACTTAAGATTTCAGGATGATTGGAAGGTGCTGACCAGTCAAATACTGCGAAAAATGATAAAGTTTAAATGAACAGAAGCAGTGTTGCTGAACTGAGTTACGGTTCATGAGGATTATAGTTGTTTTACAGATTTAGAATTAAGCATTTTATATCTGAGGGTTAAGGTATGCAAAATTATCCATTTTTCCAAGGTATCATGTGTTGTTGTTTAAAAAAAAATACCTGCATCGGATATGTATCAGTATAAGCAGATATCAAAATATGATACCCCAGAAGCCATTCCTGTGGTACCATCCATTCCTGCTGTGCTACCTGTCATTCTGGAGGTTGTTCCCGCTGTCCTGCTTCACCCTCTGGTGCCACCTGCTGCATTTAAGTGTACCTCAGAGGACAGAAGAAACCAGGGCTAGAGAAAGGCTGTCGTGCAAATCTGATTTGGTTTGTTTTCTTTTCACAGTATGTAAATAAACAGCAGTTGTGTGCACCCGCCCTTGCATCCGAGTGAGCGTTCCCGAATCTCCGCTAGGCACTCCAGCCAGGGTCCTCAAGCCGCTGCCACATGAGAGGTGACCATGAACCCGACGGCTGAGGTCCAGTGATCCCGTAAGAAGATGGGAGAAACTTCCAGAAGGCCATCCGTCATTGCAACCGATTTGTGCTTCGCAAAAGCCTCAGAAGAAGACTCAAGAAAACCTACGTAGAGTTTGCAACAAGCCACCAAAAAGACTCCCAGACTGTGAGAAGCAAGATTCTCTGGGTTTGATGAAACCAAGATTACAGATTAGTGTGGCCTCAATGCCAAACTTCATGTCTGAAGGAAGTGGCGCACTGCTCATGACCTGTGCAAAACCATCCAGTGGTGAACTGTAGTGGTGACAGCCTCTTACTGTTTGGGACAGGAGCAGAGGAGGGGTCTCACAGCAGGGGGGGGGCTGCTGGGAAGAGGGCTCAGTAATATTTCCAGACCTGGGGAGGAGAGGTTCTCGGTAAATTTCTGCAAATCGTTTGCGATCATCTGTTATAAAAAGGGGCACTTGGTAATATTTGCTGGCTTTGGGGAGGGGGGGTGGAGAAGGAATTAATAAATTTTGAAGAATTTATACTTAAAAAATTTACATGTTTAAGTGTAGTTCTGTATAATAAATTATTTAGATAATGCATAAGTAATGCAAAAACATTATGAAACAGAATTTTTTTTTTCTCGTACAATGCGCCTGGTAGTCAGCATTCATTAAAGATTGGTTCCAAATGGTCAGAGTTTTGAAGGGGGAATCCCCAGATGTTGTTCCTGTCCCTCCCCAAATACCAAAGATACATGGGCTGCATCCTCGCCAAGAGAGACCAATCCCATGATTCACTGCATCCCAAGTTCATTGCTCTTGCCAAGACCACAACTCCGGTCTTTGCATTCTTGGTATTGAAAGTCACCAAACAAAATCAGCATATGTTATGCACGTGCAGAGGCAATAGATACTCGAACATTTTTACCCTCGATGGTCATGATGCTCTTTTTAGGAAGGCCTGCCCATGGCCCTTATCAAACAGAATTTTATCAATGAGTAATATTTAAACTATAACTTAAAATCCCAGTCTGGCTGCCATCCATAAGCTTGAGCGTGAAGCAGCCGGTAGTTGTGGGTATTTTATTTCATCTGTTCGCACGTCGCCCTCTTTGAATGAACGGCCCATTAACCAATAGTAATGAAGCGCACAGTGAACAGCATATGAAAACCATATCAAATGTGCATTTTAAAAATCTACGGAGGGCTGTCGCTGCATTGCGCCATGATCTCTCCGACACAAAACAAATAAACATAACAAATAAATGTACGATATGTTCCCCATTTGAGTACCTTTATTAGCAAGAAAATATATATCTTTGATTGATCAAAATAACCACCTCTAATAGTTATAACAGCAAAGAAAATTCATGGCATTCTTTCTACAAGGGACATTAAACGTTACTGTTTCATTGGATGAAACAGTTAGCTAGTGCATTTAAAGTTATAGGACAGCTTAGAATTTGACTATGCCATCATCACACAACCAGTTAATAGGATGTCAGACATGCACTGTTACATACTCTTCCCATGTTATAAAGGAAATTTGTTTTGACATTTTCAGTTATAGTTGTTCACTCAACTTTTCAATGCTTAAGAAAAAAATCCAGAGTTTATGAAATAAATGTAAAAATGGTAAAAACCTGTGGTATACAAAAGCTTTTGACTGGTATTGTAACTTTAGTTCATACTGGACAGTATTTTACTAAACCTCAGGAATTTTACCATTAAACCGGTAACCATTTCGTCCTTAATGTTGTTGCAATATTTGTCAGATTGTTTCCAGTCCACTAATAAGCATATTGTATCATATGAAACAGTCTGTTTGTTATTGTGATAAAACTACACTAGACTGTCTTCTTTCATCGTTCTATTCAAGCTGTAGATAAACCAGTGAGTGTTGTAATTAGGATTTATTTTGTTGTTTTGTGTCTATTTGAATAAATTACAGTTAAAATATATCATTTTGTGCTGCATTTGCTTCATTATACATTACACACAGTATGCATTCATAAGGGGGGGCAGTGGTTAACACTGCTGCCTCACTCCCCTGGGACCAGGGTTCCAGTCTCTGCCGTGATTCCATGTGTGTGGAGTTTGCATGTTCTCCCCATGTCATTGTGGGGTTTCTTCTGGGTACTCCTGTATCCCTCCCACAGTCCAAAAGCATGTTAAGGTGAGTTGGCATTTCCAAATTGGCCATAGGTGTGAATGATGTGTGCACACCCTGTGATGGATTAGATCCCCATCTTGGGTAGTTCTCTGCTTTGTGTCTGTAGCCTGCAGGATGAACTCCAGACCCTCAAGTGGTTTCAGGAGATGGATGGACATATTAATAACGGAGTAGTCTTGTGCATTCTCAGCCTTACCTAACTTATTTGGAACTGCTCTTTATACAACAGCGCTATCCAACATGCATTTCTGTCTGCTTACAGCCCCAGGAGACACTGACAAGAAAAAAAACCCAGCAATGTCCAGATATACCAACTTATCATGTCCTCTAACAAGCTGAGTAGGCCACAAATAATAGATTTCAATAAATGCCAAACTCTTCTAAGGTGTGATCATGAAGTAAGATTCCATATTACAATCTCTTTGAACTTACAGTGGTGTGAAAAAGTGTTTGCCCCCTTCCTGGTTTCTTATTCTTTTGTATGTTTGTCACACTTAAATGTTTCAGATCATCAAACACATTTAAATATTAGACAAAGATGCCACAAGTAAACACAAAATGCAGTTTTTAAATGAAGGTGTTCATTATTAAGGGGAACGGTGATTGCCCATTAAACCTAATAACTGGCTGGGCCATCCTTAGCAGCAACTGCAATCAAGCGTTTGCGATAACTGGCAGTGAATAACTGGCAGTGAGTCTTTTACAGTGCTGTGGAGGAATTTTGGCCCAGTCATCTTTACAGAATTGTTGTAATTCAGCCACATTGGAGGGTTTTCGAGCATGAACAGCCTATTTAAGGTCGTGCCACAGCATCTCAATCGGATTCAGGTCAGGACTTTGACTGGGCCACTCCAAAGTCTTCATTTTGTTTTTCTTAAGCCATTCAGAGGTGGACTTGCTGGTGTATTTTGGATCATTGTCCTGCTGCAGAACCCAAGTGCGCTTCAGCTTGAGGGCACGAACAGATGTCCCGACATTCTCCTTCAGGATGTTTTGGTAGACAGCAGAATTCATGGTTCCATTTACCACAGCAAGTCTTCCAGGTTCTGCAGCAGCAAAACAGCCCCAGACCATCACATTACCACTACCATATTTTACTGTTGGTATGATGTTCCTTTTCTGAAATGCTGTGTTACTTTTACGCCAGATGTAATGTGACACACACTTTCCAAAAAGTTTCTCTTTTGTCTCATCAGTCCACAGAGCATTTTCCCAAAAGTCTTGGGGATGATTAAAATGATTTCTGGAAAAACTGAGACAAGCCTTTATGTTGCTTTTGCTCAGCAGTGGTTTTCGTCATGGAACTCTGATATGCAGGCCATTTTTGCCCAGTCTCTTTCTTATGGTCATGAACAATGACCTTAACTGAGGCAAGTGAGGCCTGCAGGTCTTTGGGTGTTGTTCTGGGTTCTTTTGTGACCTCTTGGATGAGTCGTCGCTGCGCTCTTGGGGTAATTTTGGTCGGCCGGCCACTCCTGGGAAGGTTCACCACTGTTCCATGTTTTCGCCATTTGTGGATAATGGCTCTCACTGTGGTTCGAGTCCCAAAGCTTTAGAAATGGCTTTATAGCCTTTTCCAGACTGATAGATCTCAATTACTTTGTTTCTCATTTGTTCCTGAATTTCCTTGGATCACGGCATGATGTCTGGCTTTTGAGGATCTTCTAGTCTACTCCACTTTGTTAGTGAATCTGAGCCAGACCTTCATGTCCAACATCAGTGTCTGACCTCACAAATGCACTTCTGGATGAATGGGCAAAAATTCCCACAGACGCACTCCAAAATCTTATGGAAAGGCTTCCCAGAAGAGTGGCAACTATTATAGTACAAAGGATTGATGTCATGACTGTCTAATACACTGTCTACTTGCTGTTGCACCGATATTCTTGGATCCTATATTGTGTCCTATATTACTGTTTGTTTCGTACGGTATTGCTTCTTCTTTAGTCTTTAATTACTTATGGTTGAACCCTATACCCCCATCTTGTACCAGGCTTATAGAGAAACTACAATTTCATTCTCATTACCTTGTGCTTTGCAGAATGAAAATAAAATGTATCATCGTAACTCTTTTAATCGTGTTTGCATCCAGTCCATCAAAAAATAAATAAATCTACCGTGAGATCATTTAGGTTAGAACAATTTGGTTTACCCTCAAACCACACTATGGAAAACACACAAAAAAGCCTCTTTTAAAAAAATCACAGACAGAGGCATTTAAAGTTCTTGACTGTTTCACCGCCTAAACCTTCAAAACAGAGAACAAAAAGTTTGAAACCACACACCTGCATTTATACATTCCACTTGCAGTGGGAGGGTACTGAGTCAGATAAACTGACACACTCTACATTACAATAACACACCCCCCAAATATGCACAGTACTTAAGACTGCATGTGCTTAGTTATACAAGTATCAGGTTGCTTCAAGGCCTCCAAATTCATTTAAATTGTCGTTTGCCGAACACGACTCCCCCACTCCAATCCAAATCACGGTTTCAAAGTATGTGTTTCACAGGTTATACACCCACGAATCATACACGATTACCAAAAAAAGCCAGCATTTCAGGGTTCATTTACAGTTGCATACCTGAGGTGTACTATGCATTTCACATCTACCTGGCCCAATTAAGATGAATAAGACCTCCAAAATCCAACCGGAAATGTAACTTAAACGAATGTTTACAATTGTTCACCAGGACATGCTGCCAGTTAACCGTTACGAAAGAGAGAGAGAGAGAGAAAAAATCACATCATGCTTAGGTAATTCCACCGTTTACATTACAGGGAGATATGTGTAATACATATAAAATAACTGCCACTGCTTAAGTACTTTATTCATATGTTATTTTGCATTTTCAAAACGTCTCAATCATAAACTACAGTATGCTGCAAGTGCCGCTGCGAACGCTCGCCTCTAAGGAAGCTGCGAATAAGTACGTAACTTAAACCTCATCAATAAACGACAAAGATTTTTTTAAATGGCGAAAAGCATTAAGACAGGAACTAAATCAATGAACATCTTAATGTGCGGAATTAATACAAGCAAGTTCCATCAACGCCATTACGGAAAAAAAATAAAATTGTAATGCAATAAGAACTGTATTACTATGTAACTGAAGGGGTTAAGCTTTTTTTTTAAAAAAAAAAAGTTTCCGGTTGGAGCCACGTTGTGGTAGGCCACCTAGCTGCACATAATGGCTAAGCAATCAGCTACAGCCAAGCAAGTGAACGTGTTAAAGACGGAAGGGAAACCCCGTAGCAGCCCGATGTCTGAAACTAATGAAAGCTTCACAAAACGAAAACACACACGCGCACGAGTCTAGATGCACAAGGGCAACCGGCCAGCAGGGACGAGCGCGAGCTGCAGCACGGCGAACCGCAGCGGGAATTCTGCGCGAGACGGAGGGGTTTCCCTGCCTTGAGAGCCCGTGCCAAAGCCGCGTGTGAACGGTGAACCGCAGACACCTGCGCTACAACTGCTGATTAATTAGGTCCGCGCGCGCTGTCCGTGCAGCGGCTTGCGCTTTGAAATGTGCCGTGGATGAAATCACTACTGCTTTAAATACACAACTATTTCATATATATATTACATATATGAGTTTACTGAAACTACAATATGCTTTCACAAAAATAGGCTGTATATCTACTATCAGATAAAAACTTAACATTTGCTACTTACGAAGGCTGCAAGAAATAAGTTTCACCGCCTCAACATTGGTGGCCTTCCTACACAACCTAACACGGTCGTTAGAAATCTTGGTCTTCTAGTTGATTCAGATCTATGTTTTGATGCTCACATAAGAAGTATTACTAGAACTGCGTTTTATCATCTATGGAGGCCAAGCTTCGTAAGACGCTCTCACTTCGTGATGCAGAAAAATTAATACATGCCTTTGTAACTTCTAGACTGGACTACTGTAATGCCCTCCTTTCTGGTTGCCCGTCTGGATCCTTACATAAACTTCAGCTGGTACAGAATGCAGCAGCCAGAGTTCTCACAAACACAAAAAAATTTGATTGCATTACACCGGTCTTATCTTCCCTTCATTGGCTACCAGTTAAGTCTTGGATTGACTATAAAATATAAAATACAATCCTCCGCGCTTGCTTCGTTCTCTAGGCGCGGGATATCTGTTAGGGTAGAAAGAGCTACAGCAGGCTGCAGAGCTTTCTCCTATAGAGCTCCTCAGCTGTGGAATGGTCTTCCACCAGATGTGCGGGTTTCAGGCTCACTTTCAACATTCAAGTCTAGACTAAAAACACACCTATTTAGTTTAGCTTATAGGGACACTAGTTCTAGCTCTAGCTAACTCCTCACTCCCAGTTAGACCTATAGTGTGAGGTGTAGAGCTGGGTGGGGATT